GCTGAATGACTACTGGAGAGAGAAGAAAGAGAAGAAAGCCAAGCAGAAGGCGTTGGCCCGAGCGCAGCGAGAGAAGGAGCAGCAGGAGAGAGAGGAAGAGGAGGAGGAGGAGGAGGAGGAGGAGGAGGTGGAAGGAGAGCAGGATGAAAGCGAGTGAGTGGCTGAGAGAGGGAGACAGTCAGAGGAGAGTACCATCAGAGCTCCAGGCGCCGGCTCCGTCAGACTGGCCTTGAAGTTCTGATTGCCTTTGTACCGTTCTGTTGATAAAGCCAGCCTTCACAGAACCTTGGAGACGAAGTGGAAAACATGTCAACATGTCGGGAGAATAGGGCCTGCTCTGCTCGCCATGCATCCAGGACCAACAAAAGGACAGACACTATGCAGCATATATTTAATATCGTGTGACCTCATTAGGCCTCGATGGAGGCTCGCAAAATGGAAGGTTAGTTAGAACGTGGTGAAAAGACATGATACGGCACGTCCTAGGGGTTTTTCTCTGCGTGTGGGACGGTGCTGTTGGAGCGGAACAACATTGTGCAGTGTGGCTCTCTCGCGCCCTGTGCAGAGCATTGTGGACAGGTTGGGCGGAGGGGTTGTATTCAGAGTGTTGTGGTTGTGGTGACCAGCAGCCTTGAGAGGCTCTCAAACAGCCAGCTACAGTAAACGGTGGGGGGGGGGGGGAGGGGGCAGGCATGCTGTGCAGAAACCTCAGCAGCAGGAAGCCGTGCAGGTTGGTGGGGGGGGGCATGTGGGACTTCCGAGCTGGACGGGAGGTTCAGGGTGGTTGTGGGTTGTGCGTCTGCCTGTGGGAGAGTATGTACTGGTCTTGCCGTGCGTGCGTGCGTTATTGTGACTCGAGGCAGGTGCCTGATGCGAACACATCCGTGTCTAACCACACGCGTGTGCCTGCACACAGGTGTTACCCGGAAGAGCCCTGGGTGCAATGTGAAGAGTGTCTGAAGTGGAGGAAGCTACCCTCCTGGGTGCAGCCTGAGACGTTACCCGAGAAGTGGCACTGTGCCCTGCACCCTGACCCCAGGTCACGGTGAGTGTGCTGGCCGGGAACACGCGGGTGTGACGGTGGGTGAGGTGTCTGGACTGCCTGCCCGCTGCTGGAGGAGGGTGCCAGACCCAGTGCCCCAGTCTGGGGTGTGGTACAGGTTTGCTGCTGGGAGACGCAGGATATTACAGAAGTGCATGGGATTGTATAGGCTTGAACTGTTAACTGTCACCAGCACTGCTGTTGACCCCCTTTAAGGCTTAACCTGAGACTTGATTTAAGTTAGGAGAAGCTGATTAAGGGGGGAAAAAAAGAGAAAAGGAATAGATGGATAGAGAAGATGATATTAATTCGCTATGACTGTGTCACACACAGTAGCTTGTCTAAAGAGACTTCTAATTATGCTGTGTGGACATGAAATCAAGATGTGCAGCTGGGGATAGCTGTGCTGCCCTCATTAGGGCTCATCAGTGCGATGCAGCTGTATCCTGACCGGCGAATGAGAGGAGATAAACAGATGTGTGTTGCCGTGCAGGAGCTGCTCTGTCCCAGAGGACCCCGAAGAGAGTGAGGATGAGCTGATGCCCAGCTACGAGAAAACCTACAAAAAACAGTACAGTTTCTCTCTCTCTCTCTGTCTGTCTGTCTGCCTGGCCATCTCTTAAAGCACTTCTCCCAAGCCTTACCCAGTGTATGTGTGAGCTCGCCTGTGCACCTGCTGGTTCCTGTGAGCTGCGGTTTCACATTGTGGTGATTGTGCACTGTGGGAAGTGTGAATTCAGTTGCAGTGGGGTTATTTCTGCAGCCACGACTGGCGGAGGAGGGCAGGGACAGTATGTGTCAACTGGGGGGAGGGAACATGTGCAGGCCTGTGGGTGATCCCCGTGTGTCTATTTACAGAGACCCCGCCTGGGATCGCAAGCGCAGCAGATCACTGGAGGTGGGTAGATACTCGAAAGTCATCCACACACAGACTCTCTGCATTGATTGGATCTCTCCTACCAGTTTGAAACACAGAAATGACCCTGGAACACTTGCACAGATTTTGGACGTGCTCACTGTTAACAGAGTTCTGGGCTAAAATAAAACAAGAACTTGACCATGTGCCAAACTGCAGAATAAGCTGGGTGTTCCTATCCTGGGATTGACCACTGAAACTGAAACTATTGTCCAAAGGACAAAAACAATATAGAGGGACGAACAGCTAAAAATCATCTGAATGAGCAACTTTCCTTCTAGCAGCAGGATGATCAGCAACCCCCTAATTAAGTGTAAAAATTAAAGTACTAACCCACAACAAAGTATCAGTGTAATAGTCCAAATAAGGATGATTAGTGTCCTTCTAGAATATAAATATAGGAAGGATAATTTTGTTAAAAAAGATTGTCCACCCATAAAATTAACCCCCAGTCCACACCTTACCCCTCCAATGTATAACCACATGAGTTCTCTGGACACAGCTTGTGCCTCATGAATCTAAGACTCAGCATGAGTCATGTATTAACTATGCTATTATGAATGCAATATTGTTATGCACTGCAGTTTAACTGCTTTTCAGACAACCTTAGTATTCTTGATACACACGTATTAAATATTTTAGGAGAAATATGTCTGGCATTAAATGTTTTCTCTGAATACCTATGGTATTCACATTGCAGAAAGCACATTTTAGGAAGTGGTGCTTTAGCCTGCTAGTGGATAGGATGCAAACGTTTGTCAACTCCTAATGTTATGGTAAAATTCCACTTTGGGCTTGCACGGTCTGACACAACTAAGCACTGCATAGCAAGGAATTATTATTCCAAGTGTAACAAGTTTAAGAAATAACTACTCTACTCTTGGTTTTGTTTTTGCACATAGACTGAGCAGAAATGGGGAAGATCGGTGGTCCTAGTTCAGGGCCCTGTGGCACACCACTAATTATTTCACCCCAGTCAGCCCTTCCCCTATCATAGCTATCATCAAGTTCATCATTCTCAAGCATACATAACCTTGTATCCCTACAGTTCTCATCTTGAGAATTCCTCTTTAGTTGTAGAATTTAATCAACCACATTCTAACAAGTAACACTTACCCTATCGTTGACCTCAGTTAAAGAATATGTGCTTTCTATCCACTGTCTCATGGTACTAATATAAAATAACATCTGGTTTTATGCTGATTCTTTAACATTTACCGTATACTAGAACTGCATTCAATAGAAGTAAGACTTTGGAATATTATTATTAATAATAATAATAATAATAATGATAATGTTTCTTTATTAGCCCTATACAATTTCTTGCATTAGGAATTCGTCTTTTCGCATACCCCAGCTTTTCTCCATGGAGACACAGACACACAGACAGGGAGAGAAGCTTTATATTTATACTGCTTTTACTGTATTTTCCGTGAATGCGTCCCACTGTTCTTGGTGTTTGTTTAACACCTGAGCGTTTCAAACACAGACCAGGTCATCGGACTGCTGGACGGCTTGGGGGGGTTGGGGGGGGGCCGAGGAGCTGAGCTCTGAAGCGCGCGTTTGTTTGCCGTTTCAGGAGGGGAAGAACCGGCCAGGCCTGGCCAGGGGCCTGTCTGAGCCAGCCAATCACTCCTTGGGCAAGCAGGAGGAAATGGAGCTGGAGGACGAGGTGGCGCTTGACTATAGCACCCGCAGTGGCGAGGAGGACCACATGGCAGCCTGCAGGTCTGAGCGGCACTGCCCAACAGGGGCGCCCTTCCCAGCTAGAGACGGGAGGAATATTTCAAGCCTGCCCTGGTGTACTGGATTGATCCCCTCACACCTGCAACATTGTTTTCAATTAAAACGGGCATTATCGCCCGACTGCACAAACGCAGCCGATGTTGCTACTAGAACACGAGACACCCACAGCTTAAACTCCCCCCACTTGCACTCTTCAGCTCTGCTCTACGAGTGCAGATTTCAGCAATGTACCTTTGGGAAAATGGTGGTTTTTGTCATTTTTCTTTTACAGTTTGATTTTTGTTTTTTTCAGACGGTAAACACTTTGGTAACATCTTTTAGAAAAATCTGGTGGAATCCATCCCGGTGCACAGAATCATAGGACACCTCCTGGCCAGTTTATCAGCTAGTCTTTCCGAGCGCTCTGCGCTGTAGCTGTGTCTTCCTGTGTCATAGCCAGCCGCCTCATCGCCGTTGTCCTGCCTGTTCCTGTCTGTGCGCAGCAACAAGAGGAAGCCGGGGCCGGGGTGGAAGGAAAACAGCCCGGAGAAGAAGCTGTGTTCCGGGCTGGAGGGCGAGGTCCGGCCCCCCCGCGGCGGAGCCAAGCAGGAGAGCGAGGAGGACGGGGGGAGGAAGAGAGGGGGGCTCCGGGAGAGCAGGGAGGAAGAGACCGTGCCTGTGGAGGAGCGGGGCACCTCTCCCAACACAGTCGCGGTCAAACAGGAGCACGGCAAGGCGCCCCCCGGAGGGAGGTCCCTGGAACCGCAGTCCTCGCCAACGGGCATGGCGCTCCCTCTGAGAAAGAAGGAGGCCTGTAAGGCTCCCCTGATCCCAGAGGAAAACCCGGAGTCCATGGATAGGGTGACTCTCTGCCAGAGGGTGGCGCAGCTTGAGAAGGAGGCCGACAGGCTGCGTAGGATCCTGGGGACGCCCCCTCTGCCCCGAAGCCCCTTAAGGGAAGAGGGTCACCCCAGTACGGATCAGACAGCAGAGCTGTGCCAACAGCTCAGCCAGGAACGAGAGCTGCTGAGCCAGGGGCTCTCGGAGGCAGCGGAGAAGCTCGTAAGAATATCCACGGAGAGGGACAAGTACAAATTCAAGGTGAGAGTCGGCTCAGCACCGCGGACAGCAGCAGCGTTGGCACAGTTGACAGCTTCACCCTCCCTTTCATTCTAAAGGAATAAGCCACGATTACAGAAACTCGTAAGACTGGCTGTCCTCAACGACGCACACGGA